GTGTTTTTCGTTAGTCTAAATGTTTATGTCGGTAGCTAGTCATTAGTTTTTTTTTCCTGATGCGATTTAACCCTAGCCATTTTTCGGCAAATATTACTATTTGTATTTGTTTGTGAATCTACTTTTGCTTTTGTTTGTTTTTATGTGAGTTTGTATTCTTATCCCCCCTCATGTAATGCACTTCGGTAGAAGTGCCTTTGAGGTATAATAAAATGAAAATGAAATGAAAAAAAGAACGTGTGGTTACATGTACGTTACATTTGTATTTTGCTGATTAAAATATTTAGTTAGATGAAACCAACATTTTTATTTTATTTATCCCATTAAATAGCAACATACGAACTTGAATGCTGTGATGGAAGGACGCTAGAAGAAAACAAGCGGAAGCAAGGTTTCATTTGTTGATATATTAACTTCTAAAAATTCTCAGCGTTTTGCCATAGTCACGTTTGTGGTGGACAGTTCAGACGAGCCAAATATACTGTTACTCCCATTGCACGAGCGTTTTTCAACAACCTCACACGTTTCAATCTAACAAAGTCCCGTGTTCGCACTTAACAACAGTTGCTTCTCGATGCTGCTGTCCGCAAGACGAGCAAATGGAGAAGGTAGGGCTTTTTGAAGATCAGTCTTGAAAACTACCAGTCTTTTTTCGTGAAGGTTGGACTCGTTGTTCATTTTGAAGGTGGGAGAAGAGGACATAGAAACAAGGTTAATTCCTGTGCATCTGGCCAATGCTTGGGATACAAGGGTGCGCTTAATGTATACTAACCTGTTCTTTTGGTGTAATTGGTTTCTTTGTAGAAGTTCAGTGATGGCTGCAGTCGGCGTTAAATTTCTGGGTGTATGAGGATTCTTGGAAGCAAAGAAAGTAGTTCGAGACGTCCCTTTTTCTGTCTTCTCCTTCGACCAAATATTCTGATTTCTGTGCCGCAGTCTCGGGCGCTGAAAAAAATATTCAATGTTCACTAGCTCTCCTGTACCCTACTGTTACCAAGCGAGGACCCCACAAAATAAACCCAAAGTAACAAAAAAAAACTGAACGAGATCCTCCTCTTCGTAAATATATTGTTTTTATACTTTTTTTTCTTCAAAATTCCTCTTTTCCAAATAAAATAAAAATGACCCCACCGGACAAAAAAAAATGCCGTTCCTTTTTCAGTTCCCATAAAAATGTAAAGAGTTCCCCTTCCAGTTCCACCAATTGGAAATGGAACGGCGGCGTTCCTTCGTTCCTCCTAAAAGGAACACGTTCCAGGAACGACGTTCCTTGGAACGCCGTTCCGTACAACACTGGTTCGGGTGTACCCCTAAGGCCACTAGGGTCTTTTTTTTCAGGTATTCCTCCAGTGCACACTTATAGTTTTATGTAAAGTCGCATTAATAAGTCATATTTAGTCCTTTCAATACTTCAATTCTCAAGGACAGCTTCCTGAGGCTTCAGCAACAACGAAAACATGTTGGCTGCCTCAATGATCTGCACACTTAATAATGGTCGTGCCACATTTTTTTTTTTTTTTTTTGCCTTCAGTAAATACTTTTAAGAAGTAATCTCTGACGTTGATAACTTGCAGAAACATCAATTAGTTTTCCGCTCTGCGCAAGTCATACGCAGGGTTGGCTAAGCAAGCATGGGCTGAGCTTCAGATATTGTTATAGTTGGACTATAATCATCTTTAATTGAGCACGGGCCGTTACCCGAATGTTTGCCGATGCTGATTGTCATGAACCCGAGAGTTCAACTCGAGGTCATGAAAATCGCATACGGCATGATGTCGCGTGGCTCTCAGTGCGAAGTCGCGATGTTATGTTACGTCAAAATGTCAACAACGTTAATAAATCTAGTGACGTTCTAATCCAAATCGACTTAACGCAGTGAGTCACGTGACGTCACGGGGCCACGTGACGTGACATTACATGACAGGATGTCTTGACACCATGACGTAACGTAACCACGTGACACATGGTTAATTATGGTGCCAATACGAAAGCGTCACGAAAATCCACCATTTATTACACATTGCAATTTTGTATATGACGATTTGATCACTACATAGAAATACAGGTGCCAACTTTTTATTCCGAAATCTTTATTTCGTAATACTAACCAAAAAACAAACAAAAAAATGGCTTGAACCATTTTGAACCGGTTACCGTTATATTTTTTTCCGGTTCAGTTCCGATTCAGTTTCGAGATGGCGGCGAAGACTTTAGTTCGGTTCAGTTCCGGTTCGGCTAAAAAGTAGGGGCTCCAATCCACGTTGTGAAGGGGGTTGGACAGCGAAGCTGTAGTATCACCTGCAACAATTGCCCACTGCACTATAAACCCTTTTTATGGCAAACGCCACCAGGTGGTGCTCCAGTGTTTGACGTCCCAGAGAACTTCCCATTTATAAAAATAATGGACAAAGGCCACCTTAACACCGCTGCTTGAAATGTACATGAAGCGTCTAACCACCAATTCTCCAGGTGAACGCCTAAAGAACGACCGATTCCGAGATCTGTTAAAATGTTTCGAGTATTCTTGTAAATTAGCGTGCGTCCTCCATTATGTAATATTGAACAGCCGAAGGCCCTCGTTAAATCTCAAACTTTATTGAACGTATAGCATTTATGCTTTCTAGCACTGGTGACATAAGCAAGCTCAATAGGCTTGCAAGACGGTGCGACCGGAAGTCGCTTGGGACGCAAGTCGCAGTTCCTGTTTATTAACAGCAAAAGGGTGTATTCTAAACGATTGACGAAAGAAAAGTATATGCACTGTACCAAAACTTTTTTTATATATGAAAGGCTAGTGACGTCACTTCCCACGTCGTAAGCTGCCGTCACCGCGGTAGCTTGTGCAACAGTAATCTTTACCGAACAAACGTATGCGGTGAGCGTTACCTGATTCGCATTGCTATCAGGAGCGCCTGTCATGAATTCTGTGGCTCAGATGCACGTTCTCTGTTTTTGTTCTTTAATGAGACAAATGGTGCGTGTTGTATGCATGATGTGCACTTTTCGTCTGAATCCCTAAAGCTTTTTTTTTTTGTTTTTCGTGAGGACGACTACACGAAGAAATCCCCGAAATCCGACCTGTGAGTCATATAAAGCTTCGCTGTAAAAATACGGTTCGGTTCCGGTTTTCGGTTCAGTTCGGTTACGGTTTGACACCCTGCTTGGGTGTGCCAATCGCTCTAGTATACCTACGGAGGGAGCTTAGAGAACGATGAGGCTTGCAATATAATTCCCCTTCCGCCCCCCCCCCCCCCCCCCCCCCACCCCCCTTCCCGCACAAAAAAAAAAAAAAAGCCTTTGCTATCTTTTTGAGCCTGCATCGCAAGCACGAGAAACACGCTGCTCAGTGGCACAGAGCAGATTTTTTTTTTCAGCCTTAAGCATAATTTTGTTATCGTAATTGGTCAAGTTCCCTACGTAGACTGCAGCGACTGTCTCTCCCAAAAGCTTTGTGGGAAACTTGACGCCTATAATACAAGCAAGACGCCCAAAGCGTCATGTTTGCATTGCGTAATGCCACAGCGCAGGCTTAATTTGAAGGAATAGACATATGTTCCGCCTCATCATTCGCCGAGCTGATCTCATAGATCGCAGGGATTGGCTCTTCGAGGGTTTTGCGGATAAGTGGACGCGCAGGCATTTCTTCGAGGGTAGGCTTCATAGGTTATTTTCTGCTCTATCTATATTGATTCACAGCTTCAGGGACCTTAGGCGCGACTTAATAAAACATTGGATTTTTTTTTAACGGAACTCCATAATATCGAGGGGATTCATTTTTGCATCCCCTCGATAAATATGGTTGAAGAATTGACGTAGCGTGACGCCATAGTATCACGTGTCACCACGACTTGAAATAGTGACGAATATTTTTCTGCTCTATATAGTAGGAAAATGAATAAACAATACGTCCTTCTCTCTCCCAAAGTCATTTTATATTTATTCCAAGTAAATGCAAAAGATCGCCCTTTAAACACTGCATTTCGAGTATATTAGAACTTGGGAGATAAAGGTTTTTATGTCCCCGTGTTTTACTTCGGTGGTTCGTTATCCGGCGTTCTTATTGGCTGGTGTTGTAATCTCGCTGGTTCTGCAGCACGATATATAAGATATGTATCACACACTGTGTTCTGAAGTGTTAATAAGATGTTTCGGCATCGAGACTCTATAGATTTCTTAGCCTGCCACTTACTACGGTACACTATATATCGTATATGTCCAAAACGAAATATTCAGGAGAATAACAAATGAGCCAGAACGTTTGCCCTACGAGGCTCGTTTTGCCATATTAGCGAATGCCCCGAATAACATATACGTATGCCTGTCTACGCTGGTTGTATGAAGAAATATAACAATAATTCTGTTCTGCTACATAGATGTTTCTGAACATTACGCTCGCCTGCCCTTCTTTTCGGAATTTTATGATAAACCTAATATATACACTATCAGCAGCGGTCGCCTGTATACTTCACCACCGTGCACTCAGAACAACTATCCCTGGCCTTGAATGGGTTCAACCAATGTGATCTATACCATAACCTAATGAGCACACGTTTTCAACGGCAACAAGGCATTCGCCCTCTTTTTTCCACTAAGATCGAATTGCTATTGGCTCCTGATATCAATCGCCCTTTTCATTGGTTTTACGGATTAAAGACACACCAATGATAAGCGTTCCTTATGCTTCGTGGTGCAGCATACAGCATACGTTCAGAGATGAAATTTCCTACGTAACACGGGAAATACTGATAATGGCGAACAATGCGAGGATGCCAGCAAACGACGAAGTGCGCAAGGACAAATTAGCATGTAAGACATGATGCTCATCGTCCTTGCCCACATCGCTTTTCTTTTTCTGAGCTTTGGCATTTGCTTGGAGCCTTTTATTTTTGCCGTGATTGGCTATCTCCGTGTTCTTTAGGAAGGTAAACTCGCATACTTTTTTTACAGTGTATTGTTTCTGTGGACTGCCGAGACATTTGTTTTTCATGTTTCTCTCGTAGCCCACGACAAGGGACCGCACTCTGAAAGTGTACAAATGGGAACGCTGACTCGAGATCCCGATTACGGATCCACCCACGAGTTCTTCAACAAGGACTGCCCAGGAAGTTTGGACTCTGGATACTCTGGTGGTCTTCCCATCCTCAATGAGTCCCTTGAGCGGGACGCGAACATTGACGCTCACAACGGCACCAAAGTGTCTAGCCTCAAATCATCACCTCAATGGCTGAAGGTCAAGGCTCTGGCCTGGATCATTCCTGTCGTCTACACTCACTTCTGGCTCGCAGCCGTGATCTCACTACTGGCGCCTTACTTTCCACCTCTTGTAAGTTTTAAAACCGCATATCTGTCTTGAGCGGATTCCGTATTGTGCTATGTATTACTCAAAGTTTCGCATAACGCACGTTATATCTAGATAATTTTGATAAACAAGGGCTGCACCTATTGATCTGGAGAACCCAAATGAATCTGCCATTTTCAAGCATCGCTGGTGCAAGAGGCTCTGATAAAAATGCGAAAAGCGTGCTGAAACGAACGCGGGAACTGCCCCAACCAAGGAAGCTACTCTCTTAAAAATTCCTGTGCATCTACTCACCCGTAAAACACTCGAAGAGACAATCTCTGCAATCCACAAAATGAGCTCATCTTATAATAAGGCGGAACATCTGTTTAGTCCTCTAAATTAAGTCTGGTCTGTGGCATTGCGCAACGCGAGCATAACGCTTTGTTTTGAGTAATTCCACAGCGCAGACTTCATTTTAAGGTCTAAACAAATGTTCCGCCTCATTATTCGCTGAGCTGATTTCCTGGACCGCAGAGATTGGCTTTTTGAATGTTTTGCGGGAAAGTACACGCGCAGGCGTTTTTTGGAGTGTAGATTCTGCAGGCTTCAGTGAGCTGCACCGACCAAGTTTAAACCCTCCCCCCTCCCTTCTTCAATGTCCATTTAATGCCTAGTGTGGCTTAGTCCAGGGGTTTCCCCAGGAATTGAAATTAGGGGTGTCTAAATTCTTAGGGGGGAGGGAAGTAGGGGGAGAGCGGGGCATTGATAATAGAGGAGTCGTTGCGAATTAAGGGTGCCTTTAGAAGAACAGGGGGGGGGGGGGGGGGGGGGGGGAAGGCGTGTACGGAAATCGCTGGCTTACCCTCTGCCCCTAATTTCGTTTAAAGGAGACCTGTTTCTTCTTTTTCTACTAATGGCGCATATTGTTTCTTCCTGGGAACCTTCAGACCCAGTTTTCAGCCAGGTGGCGTCATTTTGAAAATGTCTATTATACGAGCATGTCCCTTATCTTGCGTCTTGTTTACTAAAGCCCACGTGGCGAGTCTCCTTATTGCGACGACACGGCAAGCGAAGGCAAAACCTTTACAATGCTGATAAGAAAAGTGGAAAACGTTTGATGCGTTATCTCTTCAGGTTCGGAAGTTGCTTTCGCCGAACGAGCTCGAGTCACTGACAGAGTATAGACTTTTTCTGTTTCCTGTCGTTCTCAGTCACGTGAGAACGACAGGAAATTTTTGAATACTGTAAACGACTTAATTTTCGCGGGCTCAAATTTTCGCGAATCGGGCCAAAGCTGAAAATTTGAAATTATTCGCGGATTCTAATTTTTGTGAATCGAGTGTAGCTTCCGTGTCGTTCACATATTGCCCGAATTGTTCGCGGGACGTATTTTTTGCGTTTGTAGGCGATTCGCGATATTCGAGAAAGTTAGGTCCTCGCGAAAGTTTAGTCGTTTACAGTATTTGATGATATTCAAAAATATATTTGAATATAATCAAATATTTGAACCTCGAATATGCGAGAGAATATAGGTGAGGCAAAACAATAATCTGTGACAATCACGCATTTTTCGTAAACACTTTCCAGTGGCGTAGAGAAATCAATACAATGTTATACCGCATACCTTATTGGACGAGATTCAAGATGACTTCGCCCTTGTGGAAAAGGTGTATACGACATGCAAGGTGCAGCGAGCCCAGGCATCTAATTATTGCTTCGTAGCCAATGGGGTTGCGACATGAGCCGATAAGACTGCCAGAAGAGCCAAGCACGTACGAAGAGAGAAGCGTGAACATAACATGCCACACAACGCGTTACTGAAGTTGTCGTAGACTACCGATTGAAAACGAAATCGTCTGTAGCGTCTGCTTTGCCGCAAAGCAGTTGGAAGAGCAAATCGCTGCATCTAGTTCACTGAATATGGAGGCTGAAAATGTGTTTACAGCTGAAAAACAGACTCCGCGCTGTCACAATGAGCGCGACGCCTTATTCTTGAAACTTTCTGTGAGATGAAATGCCAGGCCTTTAGAATGGTTGAGTAACACGGACTTTTTAAAGGTCTTCAAGATATACAAAAAAAAACTGTTATAACCATTTTAGTCGGAGCCTATGTAAGACCTGCGAGAGAACAAGAGACTCTAAACGTCAGGCTGTTAAGAAAGCAGAAGCACCGTTGGCTCATCCATGAGCAAAACTACAACGTAAGGCAGTACAAGGAATAGTTCACCGATTGTTTTGCGAACATAATGCCTTATATTAAGATACTTACTACTGATCTGAGACTTTTACAATCAAAGGAGCCGCAGAAGTCTGAACTAAAAAGGCCTAATAGAAAAAAAGCATACGCCCACGTAAACTTAGGTTTAGCGCTAAGACGGAATACTGGAACTCAATTTCTCGGCGCCCGTAGAGGTAACAATGTACTGTTGGCTCAAGAGGTGGAAATCCGCATGTTATGAGAAAATCAGCTCGTCCCGCAGATTTCAGAGATTGGGCATTTCGTTATGTTCAAAACTAAGCATTGCAGCTGCAAACGAACCCAATGAATTCAATTAAGTAATTGTAGTTGAAACATGCGATCACAATCAAACAGTAAATTGAAAAGAGACTAAGGCGTCTTTTTTTTTGTTTGGATACAACACGGAGAACGCCGTAGAGGTTGGCTTTTTTCGAAGATGTGGGTTTTTCCTCTTTGCTACGAGTATAATTTTTTTTACTATTTGATTTGATGACTATTCCAGTATCTTCTGCTGCACATGTGAAATAACTGAACGTTCTTAGTTGCAGATGGGAAAAAAAGCAAGTAACGAGCTGCCTCGAGGAACAGCCCTCGGGAGGTCTCGTGATCGCCATCTTCTTCGACAGCTGTTGAAAATATCCAACAGCCATCAAAACAAGTCATATGACGACCTAATCGAGGTGGATCTTTGTTCCCCTGATTCGGCAGCTTGTTGAAAAGTTTCAATATATCGAAGGAGACGACAATAACGAGACCTCGTAGCTGCTCCTCGAGGCAGCATGCATTGCTATTTTTTTTTCCGATCTTTCATAGCGGGATTCCTAAACGGGCACCGTATCATTAAAGTTTCGTTTCCCGTAAGTGAGCGAGTAAGATCATCCAGGTCGTTTCCCAAAGCGGGCGCCTAAAATAAAGCTGATTTTTTTTTTTTAAATAGGTAACTTAAACCTCAATATAAAAGTACAAATTATACCTATGATTAAAGGGGTTTTGTGGCGGAAAACAAACGTTTTCTTGTCTAAAGTGCCTCCATTGCAGGTCCCCATTTCCCCTTCCTCCCAGGTTTCGCTCCCAGGATCGGCGATATTGTTAAATGTAGCAAAAAAAGAGGATGTCTAACGTATATTATTTTCTTCAGGCTTCGTCAAGAGGTGTACCGGCCTGGAAATACGGCTTTGTCTTCTCAGCAGTCAAACTTTCGATGCTGCCGGGATCCGTGATAGCAGAAAAACTGGTACTGCTCCTTTTCTAAGATAATTTACAAAAACTCTCAACTTCGTTTCGCGAAAACAAAGACCTTTGTTTTTGTGACGAACGTCAGAGCTAATCCACATAGGCGTATGTAACATCTGTCTTCGGCCCATTCTCGAGTGCAGATAAGGTAAAGCATTGTAGCTATAAATTAAATATAATTCACGGAAATGTCTATCGGAGCGTTCTTCCTGAAAGATTCCGCCTTATCACAAAATATTACAGACAGATTCTGCAGCCTTCCTACGCGCAACAAAAATAGCGATAATAAAAGTATGATTTTGTAACCTTTGTGTTGGCAGTGAAAGGTTACTTACACTTGAACCAAGATAGTAAAATGGCATGAAATGTTTTCACCTTCTTGCGTGGACATTCCTTTCCCAAAATATTGCACACAAATCAGCTAAGTTAAGCCACAGAGCGAGAAAGAGCAACGCAAACGCGGTTTTATTTCCAAACACCTTTTGAGTTATGACAAGCTTTCAGGATCATGAAATATGACCCGCTTGTACAAACATATTTTTTCTAAGGTTTTTGTTGCTGTTTTTAAGAGTCAAATATATTCGACTGTCAAATATATTCGTCTGCCAAAAGTACGACGCTTGAGTAACAATATCACGGAGAGTAACTGACCTAAAGTTAAGTCGAAGCTAAAAGTGCTGGACAAAGTTGAGCGTCGCTTAAGCTGCACCGTACATCCACTAAAATCGATCACGTAAAACACATTCCCTTAATGTACATTTGTGATTATCTGCACAATGCACACATATGGTACACATTGGTACGTATACTAAATTCAGATAAAGTAAAGAATACGCGAAAGAAACACCACCAGACACCATCATACTCTGTGGACCAACGGTACAATCCGGTAATCATGAAAAAGTGTTTGCCACCAGCGCGACGCGCATTCTGGTAGCGACCTATTTGCGCATAGCGTGAGAATGGTGACTTTAAGTAATGAGAGCGTGTGAGGGGCTTCCAGATCATCATTAAATTGCATTCGACTATAGCAGGTACTAAACTCAATATAAACGAAAACAAAATCTGACGTCGGTTTGCTTGAATGCACTCTTAAGACAATTTAGTGGTATTCAAACCAAATGAATATATACTTTTAAGTAAGCTGTGATCACTGTCCGTCTAAGAAACCAAGAAACTGACAGTCTTAGAAACCCAAGATGTAGAGAATGAGCATCTTAACAATTTTCCGTGGTCAGTGAGATTATGGTATATAAGCCGATAAGAACGGAAAAGTATAAACCGCGAAGCTATAATTTAGTGCGAATATAATAATCCGCACTTTGTGTCACTTTCGCTGTCACTTATTATTTTGATTTGGTCGTATTTATTTCCTTCAAATTTTTTCTATCTTAATTAAAATTTAAGCTTGTAGGAATTCTGTTTCAACTCTACGCCATCAAGATAGCTCATATGTTGTTTTCACGTGGTTTTCGCACGTGCCCTTATGTTACCGCGTATTTGTAACCGTATACTGTATTTCCAAGAAATGTTTCATTGTGAGATGTTTTCTTGTGGTGAAACTTAAACTAAACATAAATTTCTTGTCCAATGCATATCAGGACCATGAAGCGTGTTGGCCCGGATTAAGATTGAAAAAAGAATAAACATGTAAGGTGAATACGACGCTGCCATATCTTTCATGGTGAAGGAAGTGATTGTGTCGTCTTCGTCTCATATGTTTATACGTTCTTCAATCGTGTTTATATGCCACCTCTGTGCCTAATATGTCTAAGCTGGCACCAATATTGTATGCTTCCTTTTCAGCTAAGGTTCCACTTTTTTTCTCACTTGCAGATTGCAAATGTTTCGCCAAGAGTAGGCTATCTTGGGGGCCAGGCATCGGTCTCCTTGTTTAGCATTCTTTTTGGGTAAGAATTTATGAATGCTTTGTAACGCAAACAAAAGTTTGGAAAAAATAGTGCGTTTAAGGGAACTAATAGAAATGTAGCGAAATATCAGTCAAGTAAGTTGAAGAACTAGCTTTTTCTTGTAACAGGAGGGTGACTTGATTAGAGCATCAGATATTTGATAATTGTTCCAAACTCTTGCCTCATCGGCCAAAGGGAGATATACAAATAGTGTTTATCCATAGAAAAAAGAACGGCGACACCCATTGAACAGTCAGTACCGGCCACAACATTCATTTTTAAAGGAAAATCATGAAATGTTTTTTTTTATTATTTCTGCAGGACATTGTACTGGGTACAAGATGGCAATACACTCTTGGCTCTGGCAATTACGTGCATAGCATTTGGTGGCTGCATGTACACAACGTACAGTATCTGTCTCTACAGCCTCCTGAGCAATAGGTTTCATGAAGATGGAGGCATCTTAATCGTAAGTGTTTGAGAACAAAGTTCCTAGGCTTCGGTTTTCTGGATACTCCATTAAAAGTCATAAAAGCTAGTAATTTACAATTAGATTAAGTGTTTCAATTGCGTACCACAAGCATAGTAATGTGCTTATGTGAAAGAGTTTAAGAACTTTGAAAAGGTCAGTTTTATTAAGCCGGACAGCGACTCGTGAACGTAACTAGTATAACAACAATTACCCTTGCAAAACACTGCTATCTCAGTTAATTTAGTTGATATCAATGGGTTCACACGTATCAGACTGTTTCCAACTCTCGCAGTAATTTTGAGGTTGTTTGTTCGTCGGACAGGACTATATGCCTTCAGGACGTCTTTAACCAAATGCACCTCTCAACATCCGCAAACATGCAACGCTGGCAATGGCTATTAGATCGGTGCCTACACCTCTTTAAAGGTTGCTTAAATAACAGTTGTTTTTCTTTTGTTTCAACTACCTTACATATATGTGTATTTCGAAAGGTTAATATGTCAAATAAAATTTAGAGTGGCAATAAAACCATTCCATTCTTTTTTTTTCTTTTTTTTAGGGAATCATGGAGTGCCTCTGGGGATTAGGCACTCTTGTTGGATCAATTATAGGTGGAGCCCTCATAGACGTAAGTGTATGTCTCCCCAGTCATTCAAACCTCAGCTGGAACTATATCAGTTGATCCAAGCACCACCTTATCTTTGCAGCTCTGGGCATATCCACTTCCTTTTTTTGTCATGGGAACCTTACTTATTTTCTCCTTTCCTGCAATGGCTGTTATTGATCCAAAGAGCACAAAACAAAAAGGTGAATATTAGCCGCAGCTTATTTTTAATAATTGTTTAGTTTAAATGATATCTTGTAAAAATTTCACACTGGCATTTACAGTAGTATAAATGAAAATGTCGAATAACGCTCTCAAATGTGCTAGAATATAAAGACGTCAAATTTCAAACATTCGTTCCAGTTACTCCAGTTGTTGTGATACGGGCACGGGAGGCAGACGGCCCTGGAGGGAAAAAGTACTACAAGCTTTTACTCGACCCCATGTTTCTAGTCAACTTATTTAGCGTGATGCTCAGCTGGGCGATAACAAGCTTCAACGAACCAACACTGGAACCTTACCTACGCCAGGTAGAACAATACAAATTCTCATGTGTCCTTCAAACGTCTGTACTGCACCAGGCGATGCCAATATCTTTAAAAAAATAGTATTGATTAAACAACAAGACGTAATATTTCTGCTTGCGTCTTTCAAGTTCAGTTTTACAAGCACGCAAGTCGGAAGCGTATTCACGGTCCAATTCATCGGCTACTCCGTTGGTGCAGTCCTCGGAGGCGTCGTGTCCAAGTACCGGGCAAGTAGCATCTATACGTATTTTCTCATCTTATATTCGCGCTCAGAAGCTCCCTTATGTGTACTGTATCTTGATGCAGTCCAAAGCCCAAACATTGGTTCTCCCTTAATTAGATCGTGAACGTTGGAAATGGTAGGTGTCAGGCTAAAATAGTAGCGCAGTATCAACGGCAAGATTGCGTTCACTCCTCTAACCACGGCACCTCAATGCAATTCGAGCATGATAGGTATCGCTAGTTTTTGTGGTCGAACTCATAAGGAAGAATTATAATCGCGATTCTGAGTGCATAGTTTTGCGGTATACACGTATACATATAAGGATTTATAAAAAGTGTACAACGTTCACTTTGCATACATCATTTCTAAACTCAAATAAAGTGAAGCACCCTAATCCTTTTGGTGCATCGAAAAACGATTTACCAGCCTGGACGATCGTGGTTTGAATTTAGCAGGGATAGTGTTCCTGTCAAAGTTGGGCCTACATTAACAGTTTTTGCATTGCCTTCTTGTTAGGAAGTTTCGTTCGAGCAGTCAAGAAGGAATTTCGTCGCATAATCTCAGTGAAGGCGTGTTTCTTGGCTAACCTATCCGTTTATGTGTTTTCAATTTAGTTAACTTACTTGTATTGCTTTCTTTGCGTCCTTTTGGTCTATTAAGCTTTCGCCGCGAGTACAGTTATTTGTTGTTGTGGATCTGCCTTTTCTTCGTCTGCGTAAAGTGAGCTGCTCATTTCCCATCGTGCAATATCGCGTACCATATGCGCCGAAACAGTCCTTCGTGCTTCTTTGGCGCACCTGCTAGGTTTTGAGAGAGCTGTGGTCCGAACTTCGTATGGAATGCGAAGTTGAGGTCCCATATTTTGAACCATTTGAAAAATTTAGAGATTATAAAGATCGTGAGGACTGATGATAGAAAAAAAAAGGACCAAATCACGAGTTTCAGCTCCTATTGTCGGTGGAGGTAGAACGGTCACCTCCTCGCCCAGTTTTCTAGCTTAACTTTTAGAATGCTTTGTAGGTCATAATACATCTATGCCTAGGCCTCTGGAAGTGTTATGCTACAACGACAGGCTGATGCTATTTATTTTTTTAAACAATACGATAACATTTTGAGCAATATGCACTGTGATGCTCACTCAAGTAGCTAGAATAATAAATAAAAGTGGCCAGTATAGTAGTTCAAGTAGCCGTTTTCTGTAGTTTAACAGGCATCTGTTATACTTAAAGTCGCCGAATTGGTACTGTTATGATCTTGTAAACGAGGTGTGAATTGTCGAAAAGCACACGACAGTGATTGAAGAGGAACTTGACTTAATACCAAAAAGGACAGCTTACGCGTCCTTGCTGGACGATGTGATAAGAAATGCCCAGTGTAACTCATGTGATCAAACTCTTAATGAATGTATACAAGTGTCTGCAGACTGCGTGATATCATTAATCTACTTTTTGTATGGTTTTAGCGGAGTGGCTTCATTTTATTTTACTGGTGTTAATTGTTTAATTGAATTTCTTTTAATGAGGTTTTTGAAACATCAATGAGGTGATTATATTTTTTGCGTTTGCATGCAAAAGCCAGGCTTAACAATCACATAATTTGAGTTCTACGTGGTAACCAAACAAGTAGGCTTCAGGAATGGTTGAAAACGTAGCTTTACAAAGTCAGGAATACAAAGCACATATATCTTAACAAGAATAAAAGCAAACGTGCTACAATGTGCGCTAATTTGTGTTCTCGTTATTCGTTTCCAGATGGAGACATTTTTCACATTTTTTAGTCTGCTGCTCTCAACCCTGGGCTTTCTCATAATGGGACCGGCGCCATTTCTTCCTATTCGGCCGTACGTAGGGGGTTATATTTGCTTTTTAGACGGTTAAAAAATAAAAATGTGCGAATGCCTGTTCGAACCAAATAGCGCAATGTCATCCCCAGCTTTAACGCTGTTAAGAAAACTGATTGCATGGATTTCCCTTTCCCTGTTAATGTTATGAATGACGCAGCGCTATTCGATTCAAACTGGTATTCGCAGACCCCTACTAAAAACACCGATTGCAGTGTTGTTTTACGTTGGTATATTCGGTTGGGCTAGATGTATAAACTACTAGACGCAGTATAGTTTGTGCTGGCAAACGATTGATTTTGTTGTTTTTGCTTTTGGCGACTAAAGCACTGTTCTAAGATCAACCAACTACCTCAGTATATACGTCCAGTCAATGTCCCAGCTGCAACCTAATATATATATATATATATATATATATATAAAACTGAGAAGAAAAAAACCCTTAGTGAAAGACAGCAACAACGGACGATTTAATCTTCAACGTTTCGGCCGGAGTCCGGCCTTCGTCAGGAAGACGAAGGCCGGACTCCGGTCGAAACGTCGAGGATTAAATCGTCCGTTGTTGCTGTTTTTCACTAAGGGTTTTTTTCTTCTCAGTTTTATACCCACGCCTTCGGCCTCCCGCCACCATGCCCGTTATATATATATATATATATATATCTGGAGCATTTCGTTCTGCGAACCACTCCGGAGGGTCAATCACTGCAATCTACTTAGAGGTATAGGCCAATGACGAGGCTAATAGTACATTTAGGCCTAAAGAAACCTGTCTGCATTGTTACATTGACCATGGTGAAGCGTCTTGCTCAGTGTGACAGCGCACTACGCAGACCCTTTTTTCGTTTCGGTCTAAACGTATTATGAGCTTCGTAATTCTCCGAGATCTCCGTAGGCCTCAGCGATTGGCTCTTCCAAGTGTTACGCAGGAAAGTAGACGCGCCAGGTTCCTTAGGTTGTGGGAACTTTAATATTTGGATATCGTCCCTTAAAAACCATGGAGCGTCAACTTCCCCACGAAGCACTTGAGAGAGATCCAATCGCTGCAGAACTACGGACGGAGAGCGCAGCGAACGACGAGGCCTATTATATTATACGCGGCCAGACCTAGAAAAAATGTTTGCGCCATAAAATTGTGCTTGGCGTTAGCGCGCGAAAAAAGACGCAAACTGTGACCGCACTGAATTTTTTTTTTTTTTAATGTCCAAACATAAGTCTTGTTCTAAAGCCGAGCTTGGCAATGTGTCCCGTGTAATCGCTGCCATTTCCTTTTTTCTATAAATTTACTTTGGCAGCGACCTTACATTTCAGACATAAGACAATGCAGAGCCGCTTTACTGTAAATTATTACAGCCACTGACGAGAGCTTAAGAAATGAAGAGGGTGGCGAGTCCCGCCAACCAGCTTTTCATCGCTCCGCAGCCAATGAGAGAACGCTATTAGTCGATAAGGACGTCAAAAAAACAATCACGAAGTGAGGTGCATGAACGTAAGAAGTCAGGCCCTTTGTTCGTTAAGTTCTCAGGGACTATAGAACTGAAACTAATGCAGCAATTACCGCAAGCTTTCCATTGCACTAAAGGCCGTGTGTTTAGGTGTTTTTTTTTTCTTCATTTTATTTATGTCATGTATCGATTAAGTTCTGGCATAGAACAGTTTATGTCCCCTCCCTTCAATTCGATTGTTTTCGTAAATAACGACAAAAAAAAAACTTGTGCTAAGAGGAGACAGTTTACATTCATGATTGTCTCTAGTAACATTAGGCTTTGTTTCAATTTATTGACAACAACCCCAAGCAACTCAAAATATCTACGGACCGACTCGTATGTCTAAATCTTTTTGTGGTTACTACGAGAAAAGTTTGACAAACCACGAAATAAGAAAATTACTATTAAAAGTCACGCTTTAAATTGTTTTTCGATCAGTATTTTGTTTTATCTAAATGACTTACTTTGCTTAGTAAGCCTTCCATCAAGCTAGTCAATTAACTACGTACATGGGCGTACCAACCGGGGAGGCGAGGGGGGGGGGGGGGCCCAGTTTTCAGAGAGTGAGGGAAAAAAGCAAAGCATGTGCCCCCCCCCCCTCTGAAACAGCCGCCACTGGGCAGGGCATACAGTGGCCGCTGGCGACCGAGGGATACCAAGGGCACCGCCCCCCGGCCCGGGGGGGGGGGGGGGGGGGGGGGGGTTTGGTTTGCCCCCCGACTCAAAAACAAGTCGGTATGCCACTGACTACTTATTTACTCGAGTAATAGCCGCACTATTTATGATCAAGGCCCTTGTGTCTACTTTCCCACAGAACACATATAAAGCCAATCATTGCGTTGCGCATAAATGACATAGCGAATAACATGATCGCGAATACGATTCTCCATACAAATTCAATCTTCACAGATGGTATCTTCGCACGAAGACGTTATCTCTGTCCTGTAAACAGCTGGAGCCATGCAGTCGATCGCGGTGATTGGCAATCTGCGTGCACCGCGGAGAAGCGAACCCTCAAGATTTCTTCGTAAACAGTGCGGCTATTACTCGAGTAAATACGGTAATATGTAAGTGAGGCACTTAAATTGCTTAGTTTAGTAAGTGTCGCTTTTATCCGAAAATGTGTTGTATGTTTACAAGCGTTTTGCACTAACCAGTGTTCCCAAAAGCAGTCGCAGGTGGTAAAATGTATGCATTCGGAATCTCTGGCGTTTATACTGTATAGGATGCGTTGCGAGCTCAATCACTGCTATCTTTTTAGTCAGTGGGACCACGATCGGTATTACACCTTCATTGCCATGTGCTCTCAGTTGCAAAAGTTATGGACCTGGACCCTTTATGCAGCTGAGGCTGCGTGACAATTAGAGGAATGATGTCGACCTTCTTCGTCATTGATCGAACTGAGTAAACGAAACTCGATGTTTGGTGTTTCGAGTGTACCCTGGAACGGTACACACTTCGGGAATTCTGAGAAAGTGTTTTGGTACCCTGTTTTCAGCTGCTCTGAGCTAACACATTTATTTCCATTTTCTTCCAGTAATCTCGTCTTCATTTACTTGGCCCAAATATTTATGGGGATCGGCATGTCTCTCATGTTCATTTGCCCCTACATGCACGCACTGCGAGACGTCGTGTGAGTCTCTAATATATCCGATCCAAGCCTTTTTCTATTTCTGCTAACATAATGACGACTTGCACACACTTTTTTTCACTGGACATGCGTTCGTCGCCTTTTAGACATAACGAAATATGTGACAAATGCAAAATCCTAAACCAGCATCTGTAACTTGACAAAACAAGTTTTTGATTAGTTTAACAGGCTGTTTGAAGAACTCTTTCGTTGGTAAGGGCCTACATACAAGGAGCTGTGCATTGTTTTAGGATGCCTTTACATTTTACGAACCCATCCTCCTGACTTGACCTCAGGCGGCTGGCATTCTATGTCAAGTAATTATATAGATAACTATAATTTTCCTTGAAATACTATTATAATTTTTATTATTATTATTACTATTATTTTTTTTATTATATTATTATTATTATTATTATTATTATTTATTATTATTATTATTATTATTATTGGCGTTGAGGAGAAGATATCATCGGTGTGCGATTCGTGTCTGTACGTGTGTGTACGTGACAATGTGAGCATTTTTATTATGCTTGCTGCTACTGCTGGGTCTAGCCCCACAAGCCCTTAAAGGACACATGCAAAGGAAAAAAAACATTTTTTTAAACGGCTTAGATGGAAAAAGGACGCCATAAAACGATTTTACAACGAAGAAAAAAATATTTTAGAGCTATATTTACGGCGCAAAACGAATTTGTAGTGGACGCCCGCGGGCACCGCGGAAAAGTGGTCCGTCTTTATCACGTGACTGGTCCTTATTTATCACGTGGTGCTTGCGTTCTTTCGGAAGCTTCCTATGGCCTCTAAAAGTAACTTATTCATCTTTGTTTGAAGTATAACAAAAAAAACTAAGATGAATAACTTTTAGAGCCCAAAGGAAACTCCTGAAAAAGCGCAAGCAGACATGATAGACCTGTGCGCCGGTCAGACGACGGCGGCGGCACCCCGAAGCAGACGAACTTGTGCGGCGGCGGCGACGGCGGCGTGGAGAAACGCGTTGAAGCGGCGTTCGCACAACGCTGAGCGTGCGGCGGCGACGCAGCGCGGCGGCGCGCGGGCCTACCACGTGACCAGCGGCGGCTCCCGCGAGCGCCAACTACAAATTCGTATAGCGCCGTAAATATAGCTCTAAAAAATTTTTTTCTTCGTTGTAAAATCGTTTTATGACATCCTTTTTCAATCTAAGCTGTCTAAAAAAAATGTTTTTTTCCTTTGCATGGACCTTTGACAAGACCTGGGACTTCATCCTGACTCTAAGAATTAGTCATTAAAGAATATTATTATTATTATTATTTTTATTATTATTATTATTATTATTATTACCGGGATGTAAGCTCTATCAATACGCGGACGACACTGTAATTATGACCCGACACATCAACTATGCCAATTCCATCAGCCAGTTGCAATCTCAAGCAATAGCAATTATGGACTGGTTAAAAAAAACCTTCTTGATATTAATGTTAAAAAGACAAAACTAGTATGCTTCTATAATCCACTCCAAACAGTCACTCTCAACATTCCATTAGTTCTACACTCTTCTTTCTGCCATCAATGCAACTGCATTCCGGTTGAGTATACAGATAGCGTGAAGTATCTAGGCATATATTTTGATAGTGGTCTGAAATGGAATGTTCATTTTACATACACCTGTAAGAAATTGAGAAGCATTAGTTTCCTTGTATATAATACAAAATATTTTTTTCCCGTATCTATTCGAAGAATGATTGCGCATTCGCTTGCATATAGCGTCCTTCGCTACTCCATCACCGTTTTCGGCCATTCTTCTGACTATTGGAAAACCAAAGTGGACTGCATCCTGAAAGCTATCCTGAAAAGTATCTCTTATAAACTTAAAATACCTGACAACGCTAATCTTTTCGATTATTTGCAACTACCCAACTTCCAAACCCTTTATGTTCATTCAGTGGTATTGCGGCACTTTTGGAATTCTGATTTCAAAATCGTATGTCGAAAATCACGTGATCTTCGACATACGCACCCTTTTCACATACCTCCTTCCCGCACTCGTTATGGCGAAGGTACGCGTGCGTTTTATGTGCCATGTATTTTTTCTCACTTACCACCTGAACTTCTAAACCAAACATCCCTGAACAAAGTTAAAAAGATGCTTAGAGGTATTTCGATTTAATAGCGAACTATTGGTTTCGTTTTAGTAGCGAACTATTGTAGACTCATTTTGCTTAGTAATGTGTGCCACTATTAAGCGCCTGCCTTTCTGGATCATTAATGAATATTCTGCTGTTTGTAGGACATTTTAACAGAAGACACCTTCCGTGAATTATTTTTTTTTTCCGCATATTTTCCAGTCTTGTGGTATTTCATTTTGCTTTGACATTGCTATTGATTTCCGTTTTAGTCTGTGCGTAATATCTTTTCGCGTAAAATCTTCAAGTTATAACTAGAGTGACTAACTTCATGGAATTATGTATACAGTTCTCTTTTTTGTCTGTTTTATATGATTGTATTTTCCGTAACTACCCATGCTACATATCGTTTTTTTTTTATTGGAGGATGGCGTCGCACAAGCTGTTGGCTTTGATGCATCCGCAATACCAAACTTTTCGTCGCTGGTAGCAATAAACAATTATTATTAATATTATTATTATTATTATTATTATTATACGATGTGTTTTGTATTGGTGTGTTCAGTGTATGCGTAATTTAGTGTATGTAAGTTCCGGTGTGCCAGCACCAACTCTGCACGGTTGTCCCTGGGCACCCAATACAATTAATTCTTGATTCTTGATTGGTTACTCAAACAAATTTTATTAAAAGGGTTCTTTAATCACTTGTCACTGCCATTCCTTTTCATTTTTTTAGAGAAATACCAATCTAAACTGCGTAAATTTCCGCGATTCACCTTGAATTCAAAAATATTATTTTTGTCTTTTGAGTGCATCTGATAAAGGAAGGAATTGCGTAATACTATTATAGTCGCACCCTACCGTGGCAAAATGGCGTCCGCATCTTTTTCCTCCGAGTCCATTCACACATTAAAGCAGAATTCCGATCTTTATCCCATATGTGGAACTTGTTGAGAGAAGACCACGGATGGTGTTGCGGGGGCATTGCAGTGCAGTATACATGTCGTAACTTCTGATAGCCTAGGGAAATTATGGTTTCAGTAAACTTTATTTCCGTGGCACACCTTGAATAATTTTGAAGACCGGATTAGACCGAGTTCTTGTTCGCCCTTGTGCCTCCTATCGGAGGAAAAGGTGTGCACGTGGCCATGTACTATGACAATTCTCTAAAATAATTATTCTTACTTTTGTTATGGTCCTGATAGCGTGAAACATGTACTCATAAATATGTTTCAAACAATGAAACGAGACAATAGCGTCCCCAAATTTTAGTTGCTAAATGTCTACATCTATTATAATACATTCCACTTTCAGAAGACCCGGTATTATGCGCGTTAATCACGTTTTTTCCCTCTAAACGCAAGTTACAAGATTTATTATGACACAAATGGAACCACCTAGCTCTAGAAGCTAATAGCTATATACCCAATTCCGTCTGCACGTTCCCCTTTCAGGCCTCCCCTCAGAGAGTGCAGAGTGGACATCTCGGGCAAAAATAAACATATGTGAATGGCTAACACTACTGCAATTTCCGTACGCGTTTTTTTTTTTTCTCTATTCTGCAGTGAAAGAGTTGGCTATCCCGATACCCTCAAGACAAACGGCGTCGTATCAAGCGCAACTTACCAATTCATGATCTCCGGGTAAAACGCGATTCCTATATTGTGATTTTCATTCGAGTCATTGCACGCGCGAAAGATTATAGCTGCTTTGTTCCATGAACTTCCAGAGCCGTGATTACATCACCACTTGCCGGATACCTGGTAGAAAAGTACGGGTACAGGCAGGGATCAATGCTCATGTTCTGGCTCCTAGCTTTCTGGGTGAGTTTCGTGCATTAATTATAATAATTTACGCACCTAAGTAGCATGCGCAGACCGAGCCTGGCAGAATGCATGGTGAGACTAAACCTGAGATTCGGCTGGAAATAAATCGACGAGGTCAGAAAGGAGGCTTCAATAATTACACCGAAAACTTGTCCATTGGGTTACGTTTTATTTCTTTGATAAAACTGCTTGAACATAATTTACAACTGCGTCCCTTAATCACAACGCTGTTGAGGCGAAACGAACCACTCAAGTCTCTTGCGTTGTTAGTATCTGCATTTTAGAAACCTTCGAAAATTTCTCGGAGAATTTGTCCTTCCCTTACCAATCATTTATCTTCTTTTGATAGTTTTAGCCAAAAAGACAAGCGAGTGCTATCCCTAATAAACGGTTACCCAGTCACAGTGGGAGAATGACTTTCATCCCTGTTGCTACTGAAAGTCACAGGGATGAGATTAAAGGGTTGATTCCGTTCGCCTTGATCGTTAGTTGGACTGACTGAAAGAAGACCAACAACGTACGTACTGAGTGCAGTGTGGATTAGGTTTTATGAAAGGGATTCACCGAGCGTGCAACCGCTCCCCCAATAAGTAAAAACTCTCGCAGTGGAATATATGCATAAATCAATTAGGGGCGTTTTTTCCATCTTTGTTTTCTTTATTATATGTGTTGTATATCTTTCTTTTTATTTTCAGACCGTGGTAACCTTCCTGGTGTGGCTTCAATCGGAATTCGTTTTATTCCGAAGAAAACGGGAAGAAGATCAGCAGCTTCTTGTTAATGACACCCAGCATTCGTACTCGCCATCTCTTCTTTCGGCACCAAGTGTTTCCTGATACTAAGGCACTCGATGAGCCGCAAAACCGGAACGTCCTTTTTTTTCAATCTAGTCTTACAATAACGTGATTATCAACGTTCCATTGTGTATATGCATCTTTGTGCTACTGCCCCTGGCACTAGGAGCGCCGACGCTTCAAGACGCTGCGTCCATTCGCGAAAGTCAAACCGCGTTCTCAAATGACTTTAATGTTCGCATGATGACGTCTTAGAACTGGCCAGCTGTGTTGCCTGCCATGATTCCGGTGTTGGCACAGCAGCAGAGCTGGACATGGCAGACGCCTGTTCTGCATGAGGTCACTCTCCAGCTTGACAGTCCATGGATGGCTCTTCAGTCAGGAGTTGGGACGTTGTGACGACAGCGACACTCATATTTGCTCGTAGCGTTTTGCCGGAACTTCTATGACCAACTTCAAGGATCGCGAAATCCGACAACATGACATGCCGGGTCGCGTGACGTAATTGGTTGCCGTTTGGAGGCTACTTCGGACGTATGGGCACTATAAAGCGCTAAACAGACCAATCGAAGACGCCTTCCGGGCACCGTAGCCAATCGTCGGCTGTCACTCTTAAAGCTTCCAGGAGGTTGCTTGTAAACCAGCGCACTACTTACGAACAAGCCCGAGATTTCCCACAGCACTGCGCCTGCGCAGAAACGCGATACGCATGAGGTTAAGCGCCCCCGTATGGACCATGCCGACAGCAGCGCCACCGCAGCGGAGTAACGTCAGTGTCGTTTGCTTGTACATAAACAATGAGAAGGCAGCGACCGACTTTTTGCGAGCTCATCACGCGCATACTTACAGCTTCCAGTGCTCGCTTTATGCATTTTCTGACTAAAAAACATCAGTGCAACGTTAAATTAAGCATAGCAACATCGTGTTTATAATACGAATACGAAACAGCAGTGACAGAGCTGCGTTGTCAGATCGGGTGACCGCTAAGCTTAAAATGCGGTGCAGACGCAGCAATCGCAACGGCGTACCTAAAAAAAAAAAAAAAAAAAAAAAAAAAAAAAAAAAACAGCAGGAGTGATGTTTGTGTCACTTTTAGACAGAGTATAAAAGACAGTAATCATTATCGCCCAAATAAAATATATAAAAATGTGTGTACAGTATCAACGAATGTCCTTTGTTTCGTACTATACGCTACTGAGTAATAACACCCATCGGTGTTTTGGTCGGTTTCTCTTCATGCATTCAAAATTAGGACTGAATTGATCGTATGCTCACAAGTCCCTGAGATTATGCTGAGTCAAACTAGACTCGCAACACCAATTGTTGGTCTTCCCGTAATCAAGTTAGGTGAGTGAAAAAAGCCATCGAATGATAATTAAATCGGATGCAACCTTCATGACAAAAAGCACTCGCTACCTTTGTAAGATGCATTGGTTCAACTTCTCGGCTGGAGCGGAGACACGGACTCTCCTTGAGGAAGATGAACATCCCGCCGTATCTGACAGCTTAATAAACACGGAGCCTGGCTTTTTGCGTACAGAAATATTTTTCCGTGATTCGTTTTTTGGCATACTTAACGGTTCATGGCGCAACCTCATTTGCTCTGGGACAAAAATAAAATTATCCGGACTCGCTACGCCCTGTGTTTCTTAAGCTACCAGTGATAATATGAACATACATGCAACACAATTACCACCTACTCGGTCACCGAGATTCTAAGACACTTTGAATGTGATACTGATCGCCCTGTCTATCCGATTAAAGGAAAACAGTAGTTTGGTTATTGCCATTAAATCGCGAAGCGCGATTCGAGTAAGAGTTTCGTAGAGTGCATAGCCTTATGGCACGATTTTCAAGTTGTTCGAGCCCATCCACCGATGTGTCGTTTTTGACCCTGAGATTTTGCTGCTCCGGACATATTAGCTTATTTCGCCGCGACTGTGTAACTTTTGATTTGACTTTGAGATTTGACGCGTCTATTTGGCAGTAGGCTTTTCTCGTACGTGCAAGTTAGAGGGACGTAGAGTGTGCAGTGGAACTGTAACTGGAACTTTTTATCTGGAAGGGGACAAACTATCTAATGTTGACCCACCGACGGCAATAAAGTTATTTATTACATCCTGATTCCCCGATTCGGCATTATTTATTTTATATCCACTTCGTGAACACCTTCGCATATCCTCTGGAAGCCTACAAAACACAGAGCGTGATTGATGATGTGCACGTCTCGCGATTTGTTCTTCGGTGTTCTTATCGGATAACGCCCCCATCGCATTGGCTGCGGAAAAGGGGAGGGGGGATAATAAGATGGTTTGAACTAACAACGCCCTGACTTGCTTAGGCTGCACTCTAAAAATGTCTGTGCGTCTACTTTCACGCACAACACTCGGAGAGCCAATCAGCGCAACTCACGGAGGCAGCTCAGCGAATGACGATGCCGAAACATATGTTTAGACCAAAAAACGCAGACTGAGTTGTGACATTAAGCAATGCGAAACGTCACGCTTGCATTGCTTAATGTCACAACTCAGACTGCGTTTTTTGGTCTAAACATATGTTTCGGCATTGTCATTCGCTGAGCTGCCTCCGTAAGTTAGGCTGATTGGCTCTCCGAGTGTTGTGCGTGGAAGTAGACACATATACTTTCTTTGCAGTGTGTCAGTGACTGCATTGGGCTCATAGCCTTGACATGCTAACGTAAATCGCAAGTTTCTTTTTTCTGTTTTTTTTTTTGTGGTGGGAGGGTGGTGTTTTGTGGGGAATTTCAGCTCAATCACGCACATAACTAAACTCTTATACCTTTAGTTTTTTCGCATATTGAACCATAAGTAAGCGGAGTATCATTTTTCTCTGTGCCCTGTTTGCAAAATGCACCAGTTATAGCGGGAACATTGCTAAACTGCAGCGTCGACGCAAGGGTGCGAATCTCATTTTTGCGATTTATGTCATACAGGCCCGCGTTTTTCGAAACACCCGGTATATACAGTCCAGGAGTTGTGTGGAGATGACAAAAGCCGTCACCATTACGCCTACGATGAGGATCGAACTGTCGTTCGGACGACGGCCATAATACGTGCACAAAGGCGCAAAACCAGCGCGCGCACAAGGAATCGTACCGTTGCGCAAACGCGCACTGTGAAAATGCAGCGATCGCTAATTTACATGAAGAATGACGTTGGCCAGGGTCGCTCAGCTCAGCACTAAGCAAGTATCCTTGCGCGTTCTTTGCGTTTGACTATATATAGTGCTATAGTGTGCCTAAATGTGAGAGCGTTTCGAACTGCTGCATCGGGGTTACGGAATTTACAGGCCACGTTGGCCCGCAATAGATCCGGCTATTAGACAGTCCATCACAGATGTTAAACACACTTCAATTTGATTATCTTGACTTATGTCGAAAACACCTGAGACTCAAGTTGTTATACTTGTTTTACCATGGATATCTGAAGGTTAACATTTCCCCCTACCTAGCACCTGTTTTACATCGTGACACGCGATTCAATCACGGTACATTACTGGAGCCATACCGCAATAACATTTTCAAGAACTAATTTTTTTCGAAAACGATAACTGATTGGAACGGACTGCCCAAAAGATATCGTTGAGAGCTCATCGCCGGATGACTTTCTTGAAAAGCTACGAGCTCAAGAAGCCTTACGGTTTTATTTAATTTTTATTTTTTGTTGCTATTTTTAGTGCTAGAGTGTTGTTTTGTTGTATTGCAGTTTTCCCTTTTTTATTGTGTCTTGTACGTATGTATTATATGTTCACCCCTGCCGGGGCCATAGCGGGGCCTGCAGTGTTGTTAAATAAGTAAAAATAAAATAAAAATAAATAAAATACGAGCTGCGAGAAGGAGGCCGGAGCGTCCAGCTTCTGCGAGCGTCTCTTGCCTTGGCTCAGCTTCTTCGACCGCCATCCTTCTCTCCACAGGACAAAGCACGCATGCGCACGAGCACCCAATCTGCGTGGGAGGCGTCCGCCATTAAACTGCAAATGCTCTTCTTGCTTCGAGTTGCCCCCTCTCTCAAACCTAGGCTCCTTAAGTTCGACAGACGCGGCCGTCCGAAGCCAATCCACCCTTTTGAAAAGCCAGCTCCGTTTCCCACGTGAGTCAGGGTATGAACGCTTGCTCTGACTCACGCGCTTGGGGTCGCGTCATCCGCTCGTTCGCGTCAGCTGTTCTCTTCGTGTCCCGTCTTTGTTCGGAGTTTTATGAAAAAGAGCGCCGGATGCAGGGAGCACACAGCCGTGTTTCTGGTTCGAAGTTTTTTTTTTGCCGGGATCTATGTAGGCGATTTTTCTCTCCTTTCGCCTTACGTCCGCATGCGTTTCTATGTGCATAAAGTGGTGTTTTCCTGATCGCCCGAGTTCTCTCGCATCGTGATTGGCTTCAACAAATAAAAGTGGTCGGGAACGTAAAGGAGTACTCCATTTTTATACATACTGGTCTTTATTCCGACTTCAAACTAGCCCGAGCTCAAGATATAGGCTCGTCGTTGAGCAAGATGGTCCCGACAGACGCCGCCGAGAGGGCTTCAAAGGAACAAAATAGAGTGAGCTTGAGTTTACGCGTCCCAAATAAATATGTCCCGGATTGTACTTCTTGAGTTCCGTCATAGGCTGAGCGGTTTGCTTGCTTCTGCATTTTAAAACGCAAAGGACGACGCTAACAAAGAAACGATAACGTGCCTGCGAATAAGGAAAATAGTGGAAGACTAGACCGGCACGGCCGCAGACGGTTGTTTGACGCTGAATTCCGTAGCTGTTTTTTTTTTAGCACGCTTCGTGCTCGGTATTTTGTCTGGAAGGAACGACAGGAGCAAGAATCCTATATACAATGTTAAAGAGAGAAGAAAAAAGTTGTACTCACTACAACAAAATGAATAAAAAATTGCTATGTATCGCAGGACGCTTATCGACCTCCTTGAAGTGTGTACAGGGCATTTTTGATACGGGGCGTGAGGTAGCTATTTTTACTAGTGGCGTCATTCAACTTCCTGTAATCGACGCAGAAATGTACAGCTCCGTTCTTCTTTCACATTAGAACTACTGGAGACGACCAGGAACTCACAGAAGGACGGATCACGTTTTGTTCTTGCATATCATTTACCATGGTGTCTATTATGTGTCTCTCCATGGATGAAGACCGATCAGGGCGATGCCGTGTGGGAAGCGAATCCCCGGTGTCAACCTCGTGCTACACAATGTGCGTTTTTCCGATGAGTCCTGTTTTGCAGTCAAAGCGCTGTGATACTGATGTAAGAAAGATAGGAGTCTACCATCCCAATTAAGAGACCGTCGTCAATCGAGCATTCAAATGAATTAGAGTTAACGAGCGTCGAAAAAGAACAGAGCGTTATGGTCCGTTAAAAAAGTTGCGGTAGCAAGAAACATTCCCTCGGGAATGATGGTGTGGATCTCTGTTGAATTATAGGCAAATACCTCTAGACATGTCGAGTCAAGTCTGGCGATAGAGCACTCAACACCTCATCGCAACTCGTAGGCTCGTATTGCAAATGCTGCCCGGTGCGGCCCATAGATCACGTGACCCTGATCGAGCAGATGGGAACTCTCTGTCATACATGCCCTCTATCACCGAGCCCGCTGGTCTACGCCAAACCTGCGCCTTTGGCGCTTCGGCAAAGCAGGGTTCTTTTCCGCTGGGCGGACGCAGGGGATGTCAACGCCTTGACGCACGCAGTAACTATCCGATTCGCCGATCGGAAACTCGACGAGAGATTAAAGCAAAGTGCAGCCGTTGACAGAAAGTCGGCCCGTAACGATCCACCATTACGAGCCGGCCGGTAGCCCAGCGGAGAGTCCCTTGTTTTGCTCAGCACCGAATAGCTCCTCCATTAAAATTTCAAACACGCTCGTCAAAGGCTTTCGTCGGCAACAGGTCGAAATGCAGCGACTGCACCCAGGGGCGTCTCTCTACATTAACACTAATTACCGAAAAAAAAAGAGAAAAGTTTGTAAATTGCGTATCTGCGCGCACGGTATCGCATTTAAAGATACTCTGCGAGTTGCCAAGAAAGCTCTTTGAGCCTTTAGGCACATAATGAGGTTAACGTAAAACATTAAAATTGCAAGCTTCGTAGTATTCTCAAAATTTGACGTCTAATCTCAAATGAGTTCCTATTGTGAAACGGATGTCATTACACGCCTATGCTGTTGTTAATTTGTTCTGACTCATTAGAAAGAAATAAAACTAGAAATTCAATATTCGTTTTCATAAGGGTATGATGAACAATAAGGGTAGGATAAATGAACAAAATGTTGCCCGAACCTGTGCGTATAAAACAGTTTCGCTGACGTTTGACAAAGCCGAATCCCACCAGATTTCTTTTCTTGTCTCACATACAGTGTCATGATTATTTCGCTAACGGCAGTTGCCACCAGACGTTAATGTAACAAGATGCCTCCGTAATCGGGTACACGGCTCGTGCATTTCTATGCATATTTGTCATAAATTTCCGTCACGGTATCTAACTCATCAAAAGCTAAGTAGCGAACAATAATTTGTTAGTTCTTAGTCGTACACTTTAAATGTATTAACGAGTATCTTTCTGGACTACTAAAAAGTGTGCTCGAGAACACTTACCGAGGTATATTATAAGTGAACGTTATTAGTACGATTTGAGTACTGTTGCATTATTATCTGGCTACAGTTTAAGTGAATGTGCTAGTTTCAAATTTATGAGTATACATCCAGTATAGCACCCTTTCTACTGCATATATAGATATGTACAGATTCAGTATGCTCTCTCGTTAAATAAATTCACTGTCCGTGTTGTATATTAAACATGATTTCCACATAAGGATAAACATGTGAAAAGGTCGCCATAAAAGGAACTACGTATATCCATATATAGCAATAATTGGCACCATATACGGATATATCTGTTTACCATACCTAGACATATATGGCGCCCCCTTGCCATATATACCTCTATTCGCTCCTTTACCTGGCAATATACTGTCTGATATATTTTTCTTATATGAATATATATATAGCCGTAAATGAAAGATATGTGGCCTATATATAACATGTTTATAAGGGTTTATTTGTATCGTAATCTATCATTAGTTCGCAATTACTGCAGTCGATTAGAGCATCT